CTCGAATTTATGCGCTTTCACATTTTAATACTATCAATTTATATTATAAATGCAATGGTATCGTAATAGTTCTTATATTGTTTCGATTTCGAACAACGTGAGAATAATATTACTAAATATATAAACATATGATACGTTTATAATGTTAGTTTTTTTTTTTTTGGCTAAAACAACTTTTTTTTTTTTTAACTGAATTAAAGATTATTAGGTTATATATGTCGAGGATATTAAATATATACATAATATAATGTAATATATTTACGCGGTGGCGCTGTCGTCGTATTCGGACCGAGCAGTGTATAATATGTGCCCGGGGACGCGGCGCGTTCGGTAATATGCAAAACGGATTCCGAGTCAAAGAACTCGCTAAATGCACCCGCTGACCTTGATAAAAAAGTGATTTAAAAAAAAAAAAAAAAAAAAACTGTTCCGGTAAGTAGCCCGAATTAAAATGTGCATACTGTACATAATATATAGTGATGCTTATAACTAATGTTTAAAATGGTTATGAGATATTATGTGCTCGTATATATATAATTCTATAGCTGAATTATAGATGTCGTTCGTATGTACTACAGTGTTTTCTAAACACTGTAGTGCATAGGGGGCAAGGGGGGGGGCGTGAATAAATTGTTGGAAAGGCGCATGCAGTCATCGCGAAGCAAAATGTATATATATTAAATTATTTGTATTTTATACAATGTATAGGGAAAAAATAAAAAGTAATAATGACCGGTTTTTGGGTATCAATATATAAAGATTACGAGCAAGGCCGTGTTTAGGTAGTGGTGACAGGAGGCAGTTTGTCCGGGCGACTTTAATTTTCGTTAAGATCTGTTTGCTTTTTTTTTTTGCTCATCATTTTGTTGACGAGGGGAAGGGTGTAATATTTTTTTCAAAATCTACAAGAGGGGCGTAGAATAAAAGAAGTTGGGAACCATTGCAGATACAACCATATCGTTGTTGAAATGTAAGTATATAGAGGTTGCAATATGAGTGTACACAACCAGTTGTGTTTTGATAACGCAAGGGGAGAAAACTCCTTTAAAAAACGGAGATGCACGAACAAAATTTAAAAAAAAAAAACCGTATAAGCACTCAAATCGTCCTCTAAAATATGTATTTTATCCCTTAAATTGGCAAACACGGAAAAAGAGACCTAAAAATTATAGAGTATGATATTTCTGACTAATTTGAGGCCGCTTAATCCAAAAATGTTGGCAAAAAAAAAAGAAAAAGAAAGAATATGATTTATAGTTATTGAACTATAAGTATTGTATCTTGAGGGATACATTGCACAGTTCATACGTTTTTATATTGTTGTATCTGACGAGATATATTTCCAAGTGTAATAACACAATTTAAAATTATTGTTTTTAATGTACTAAAAATAATCGAGTCAGTCTTGACATTAATTACATCGGTACTGTTTTAGCCTTTCCGAAAAGCCATCATATCTCCGTCTGTGAGTACTGTGTGCCTATTTTAATACACCCGCTGCTCCGTAGTTTGACGTTAACAGATACCATATTATATAAACCCGATATATATTCGATTATAATAATAATATTATCTATCCTAATACAATCTATACGAAGGTGCAAACAACATAGTAATTCCTTGTAGCTCTTATGTTGCTATAACGCACCGTATACATGAAATCGGATAGAGTTTAATATAAATACGAAAAAAAATAATACTTTTATTATAATATTATTGTTATTAAAAACCGTTACGCTTATTTTTAACCGCGGTATTTGTACCTATATAATATGTATATTAGAGGTTTTTTTTTTTCATCTCCGCTCTCTCTTTTTAATGTCAAAACATTTTTCGATTAGCCCTCGTGCAGTGTGTGTAGATAAAGTATACATAGACATATATACCGTATATACCTGTATACATACTCTGTTGTGTGTACTGCAGCATTATTATATTATTATGCTTTCAAAAAAAAAAAAAAAAAAAAAAAACCTATAAAATAATAGAATACGTCACATATAAGCCACATCATACACGCGACACACACACTGCACATTCTGCAGCAGTAGTAAATCAAAATGTGTTTTAGGGAACAGCAATTTTAATGCTAGTATATGGAGAGAAGAGAAAAAAAAAAAAAGAAAAAAAAAGGGAAAATGTAACCGCTTTGTTCAATTGCCCCCGTGTATGACGCGTACAGTATAACAATATTATAGGTGGGTACCGCAGGGTATACTGCAACAGTATTATCATATATAGGCGCATTTTTTTCGCCCCCTTTTTTTTTTTTTTTTCGATTTCGTATTATATTTTTATAATAATATGTTTCTTCGCATGCAGTTCAGATGCTTATATTATTATATATGTATATATATATATATATACATATTATATTATACGAGTTTACGGGTATACTATAGAATATAGTATTATACGCATTGTATAACATTATATTATTTTAGGTACATATAAATACGATTCAAAAACGATTCGCATAATATATCACATATCCCCCGTGTGTACATAATGTAATAATAATATTACGAGTAGTAACGTATAGACGAAATTTTTACTTTGATTTATTACTATTATTACAGGTATAATAATCGAATATAGATTATTGTGTAATTGTATATGTATAAACATATATCGGTGCCGTAGCCAGGATTTTTTTAAGAGGGGTGTTTTTGTTTCGCGTTCAGACGTAACTTTGTAACCTTATTGCGAGTTGAACGCTACACATAGCACACACGCTTAGTAATAATTATCGATGCGTTCACAACACATCTGAAGTAGAAATCTGATGCATAACTGCATATCGTTAAAATTATAATTTTCGGCCTAAATATTGTCAAAGAAGGGCGTTTAAACACCAAACCACGGTCCTCCTCCCCTTCGCTATACCACTGATATATAATTATATATTATGTGTTCGAGGGCTAATCAAAGAGTATCGAGACTAATAATATTACTCGGAAACCGGGAGCGTTGAAGAACAAAATGATCGATAACCCTGGCTTCTATGACTGTATATATTCTTCTGAGCACATCATCTATATTCTTGTAGAATTTCCATAGACTCATTCGTTTTGATTCAACGAGATATTTTCCTAAAATATGTTTTTCGTATGAACCGCGATTTTGTAATGAATCCAAAGAACGCTCATATGCAGTTTTTCGATTTAAATTTTTTTGGCATCAACCGCGAAATGGTCTGTCTCTCTGAAACTATAAAAAAAAAAAAAAATGCAGAAAAATTCTCGCCAAACTCGAAAAACATATTTTACAAAAATATCAGTGAAACCAAACCGTAAAAGTTTATAAAGAATCGTTAAAAACAAATCTGCTCAGAAAAAGTCATAGAAGCAATAGTGATACTAATCCCACTGCTCTTCAATGCTCATGGTTTTCGAGTAATACTCAGTGGCGTACCGATAGGGTGACGTAACGGGCAATGAGCCACGAGCCCATGACATTGAAGGGCCCTAAATCAAGGCCCAAGGCATTATTTTTCAGTGGATGGACATTTGAATAAGAAACAGGCGATGCCTATTGTTTTGTTTATTATAAGTAACATGAGTGGACGGACAGATGTATGAAAACAGATCTTTTTCTTCTTTTTTTGCACCAAACTGTGTAAATTGGTCCCCGACTTGGATTGTGCGCTTGGTCAGGGCCGGCGCTAGCAATTGTCAATTGTTGATGAGTGCCGGGGGGTGTACTGTACACATAAAATTATTTTTTTTTTTTTTTGCTAATTGACTATTCTGTTTTGGTGTTTATGTTAAAAATTCAGCATAGCATTTTTTTCTTTTTTTTTTTTTAAGCGGCAGTTTTGTTTTAGGCGCTGCCATAGCGCTCTCTATGCGGTGAGATATTTGGCCACGGCATTAGGAGTTTTAGTTACGCCACTGGTAATCTTGTTACCAGTCTCGATACTTATTGATTAGCCCTTTCGTGTGTACGAATAATTCGTCTTGGGAAAAATAGCGAGAACCGCGTAGGGACCGTAATAATATCGTACAACATGATACGATATAATTAATCTGTAAAGATTATTTCGATTCCGGTCCGCCGCAGTTCGCGATATTATTCGTTTTTGGAAACGCTCGTCCCGTCGCACGTGTACCCGGCAACCGCGTGCGTAATAGTATATCATAACGATATTCAATGTGTAAGGCGGTATACTGTTTGATTATACGGTTAGACTATAGCGCGTTAAATATTGGCATACACAATAAACAATATGCTAGTACAGGGCATTTGTACAGGGCAACAAAACGATAGAGTAAAAACAAAAATTATTAAAACTGTTAATATACCCGTGAATGATTATACCATATATACAAATACGTGCATTTTATACGAACCGGATTAAATACGCGGCTTGAAAAACAAATGAAACGTTAAATCAGATTAAATATTAAACACAATAACAATAATATTATTGTATTACAACACGCGTATGTGGTATAGCGTCATAATATTGCGATGGATAAGCAATGTTTCGTACAGAATATTATGCATGTACACACGGCCGTATATAATTATAATAATATTATGTGCTTACGATATCGTAATGTTTTTATAATATAATAATATGATAGGTTTACGTACCTATTGATAATAGTTTCGTATTTTACGCGGCCCGGCGTGAATTCATAACGGATTTACCGAACAGATTATCACCGCCGTAATAATGACGTCACGGGTAAACTTTTAATTGTGACGACTTTATTCGCAATTGTACACACGGTTAATTGAATTCACGTACCCATAGATGGGCTATGCTTCGATATAGACTTATAACGTTCGTGAAAACATAACTTGTACCCACGCGTACAGTTTTCGTTCGTGCCGATTTCGTGCCGTCGGTATTAATATGTATTATTTATTTAATAATTTACGCCCACGGTGGGACAAGAGTACAATATAATAGTACACGTAACATTTGCATAAAAATTGATTAATTAAATACTAAACCACTAAATACTGAGCTACGTCAAGGTTACGTAGTTTTAATTTAGAGAAACTAATCGGTAAAGAAAACGAAATTTTATTCGTCTGGTTTGTAATGAATTCGTGTTGTACTGGCGCTCGACTACAGAAGCAGGATAACCGGCCGAATTAATTTTACGCGCTATCGTGCGAAGGAAACGCCGTTGCACTTTTTCGATTTCGGTCGTAAGGCCTAGTCGCATAGGGTTCCAGACAACTGAACGAAATTCAACACCAGACCGTACTGAGGCATAGTACAAAGTTCGTAAGCGGTGTATGTTATTAAACCCATCACAGTTTCTATTCAAAAGTCCTAAATGTCTGTAAGGCTTAGCACAAACAGTGTCAATATGCTCATTGAAAGAAAGATCAGACGATAATAAGACGCGCAAGTCTCTAATTGTTCGCATTCTTTCTAATTTCGCAGTATTTATGACGTATTTTACTATCGGAGGGTTCCGATTTCGATAAAAGGCAATTTGCCTACATTTGTCGATATTAACGTATAAACAGTTTAGAGTACCCCATTCGATAAAACGATTAAAATCGTTTTGTAAATACGATTGGTCCTCGCTGTTCTCGACGACCATGAATATTTTCAGGTCGTCAGCGAATAACAAGTATTTACAGTGTTGGAAAACAGTACTTAAATCATTTATGAACGAATTAATTATAATCTTAATTATAACGAATTATTGGTCTATAATTATTATAAAATTAAACTTAAAGGTAGTAATAAGAAAACTGACCGTGTTTGTAGGTACACGTATAGGTTTCTTGTGACGTTTTAATTTTCAAGCGATAGAGACGATAATGATGATTTGTAATATTCTATATAAACTCGCGTATCTCGCGGTTAAATACATTATAGGTACATATTTTAGCGTTTTATAAGGAACATTTAAATAAATTATATTTAAAAAAAAAATGATAATATATATCTGTGGCTGGGCGCGAAAAGAGCCAATAAGTCGTTTTTTTTTTTTTTTTTTTTGAAAAAATTCAGTTAGAAACATTTACGTTTAATAAAATACACAGGGCCATTATGGGAATATACAATTTTTATTAAGCCCGTTTCCCGACAATCACAGTAGTGAAAATGTGACATTGGCCATTTTCGCACCAAGCCACAAATATATAATGCAACTCGTGAACGTTTCAGCTCGACGGATCATTATAAGGTATTTGGTTTATGTCGATTAGATCGACATTATATTTATAATAAAAAAAAAAAAAAAACGTGATATTGTTTAAAATTTTATCCGTGTCACGAAACGTTCCGTGTATACAAAAGTATACATACACTTTTTAAATAATTATTATATAATTCTAATTTATAGTTTTAATTTATCGAAAATGTGTACAGCGAATAGTGTTTTTATTTTTTTTCAGAAATATGCCAATTCATAGATCTGCAAGTTTAGTTGTGCACCTATATAGTTATACATTTTCTCTCTATCATTATATTTTTCCCATTTTGTAATCGATCAATACACGCGTTATGTATACACATAATATAAAACTGAGATTGTTTGTCTATGAAATATACAAATATTTGGTTTTATTATATTTTAGTACCACTCGAACGCGCGATGTTGTGCAATATAAACGTTCACTCCTCAGACCTGTGTGTGTTTATGTACGCGTATAAAAGCGCTTAATTAATAGACATAATAATAGGTACTTTACTATGTTATGTATTTTTTACCGGCGAATCAAAATTAATTAGAACATCGTGTATACTATGTATATTATAGCCCGTAGGTCATTATAACACTCCTCCTTTCAATATGTCTCTGAAAACTCGACAAAATTTCGAGCTTTTGAAAAAGTCTATATTGTGTACGGCGTAGAGAAAATAGTGTAAAAGAGTGAAAAATATAAAAGTTACTTGAGATTTTTCTTTTTTTGCGGCTGCATTGCTGGTTAAGCGTACAAATAAATTATTGGTTTCGTATATTCGCATGTTTTATTTACTATTGTCAGTTTTTTGGGAAAACGCGTTAAAATACAATTATCCTCTTCGTGTGTATATATATATAGGTACACATCATCAAAACTTTATTTTATATTTATTGTTTCGTCAATAATAATATCGCGATTTTCTGTAATACAGCACGACAATATCAAACATTATACAGTACGTATATTGCAGTGCCGTATACAGCTAATTTCTATACAGTCGTNCGGCTGCATTGCTGGTCAAGCGTACAAATAAATTATTGGTTTCGTATATTCGCATGTTTTATTTAGTGTTGTCAGTTTTTTGGGAAAACGCGTTAAAATACAATCATCCTCTTCGTGTATATATATATATAGGTAGACACCATCAAAACTTTATTTTATATTTATTGTTTCGTCAATAATAATATCGCGATTTTCTGTAATACAGCACGACAATATCAAACATTATACAGTACGTATATTGCAGTGCCGTATACAGCTAATTTCTATACAGGATAATGTTTTCGTCATGGATCAGAAATTTTTTGATAGGATTGTTCCGAGAAGATTTTAAGTGAACTGTGAACTGGTTATGTTAACACACTGTTTTAAATTCTGTAACCCTACTCCTTGTACCTGGAATCGGTGTTCGTTTTGGATTTTGAAATAGCGACCCCCTTTCAATCGCAGATTCAAACGGAGACGATTTTACTAGACATTTGAATGCGCATACACCGCGCTATAATATCGGATTTACCGCCATTTATGAGTCATTAAAGTTTAAAGTTTTTTGACCGGTGGAGTACACGCACAGAAGAGTTATCGATTTGTCGTTTAAAAACAGATATGCGATTCATACAGTGACCCTTCATCTCTACAACACTCCCGGGCAAAAACTTTAAACTGTTACAACTATAACGGCATAATAAACGGTAGGCATAATACACTGCCGGTATAATACACGATTACAATATTGGATTTTATACCGGATTCACGAGTTATAACAGTAGGTGTTTACAGGATAACGCGCGCGGTCGCGATAAAAAAAAAACAAAAAAACAAAACAAAAACAAAAATCATTCTGCGTAATATTATTTAGATTATATTTTTCTTTATCCTATACACACTCGTACATTGTTAACGTGCCGTACAACGAAAACGATTTTCGTTTACAATATTATTATTACTGCGTGCGGCAACGGCGCGTGTAATACCGTTAAAACGCGCACGCGCAATGGACATTTGATTTATCTAACGACATAATACATGGGCGGCATGTGCGCACCACGGCCGGTACCGGTACAACGGGCAATGTTCCCTTTAGTCCCCCCGACACTCCTACGGCGTCCTCGGCGGGTCTCGCCGTGCCCGTACCCGACCGTTTATCTATAATTTTATTGTCAACGCGATATTTTATTTATTTAGCCGCGCTGACGCGTACACCGCCGGCGCCGGCACCAAAGCGCGACCCCACACACGCACGCGCGTATGTTATTCACAATACTACGGTTATTTTTGTATAAATTACAATTCGGAAAAATCACGATCCCCGGCGTTCGCAACGTGTTGTGCCCGTGCGCGTACGCGTCCGCGGAGCGCGCGGAGGCGGACCGGCCAGAGGAGACGTTTAGCGGGTGTGCGATACGAGATCGTTATTATTATTATTATTATTATTGTTATTATGATCGTTATTTTTTTTATTTTTTTTTTTCGCTGCTCGTATTCCGGCCCCAGACGACCTTGTACGCGGTCTTGTTCCGAAGGTGATGTACGATACGGGAATGGATACGCTGAAATACGCGTTTTGCAACGAATCTCGAACCGTGTTCGATTTTATTTCGTTGCGCGCGTCGCAAACCTTTTTTTTTTTTTGTTCTTTTGCAAATGAAACGGAAATTATTCCGCTACGTATAACACGGCGGTGTTGCCTTACGAATATACGGATAATTAAACGGATTGTTTCGATTAAAAGCAGTGTGCGTACACCGAAAGTAGAACCTAACCTAACCCAATCTAAACACCCGCGAAACAACTCGAGCGAATAATAATAACGAAAACTAAAATCTACTCTTATAGTGCGTTCTGTATACACCGGCGGTTCCAAAGTACGCACCGTGGCGCCCTGGAGTACACGTCGGTGTCTGTATACGGGCGCCGCGACACCGGTTTAGAACGCTTACTGGTCTAATGATAAATTTAAAATTCGAAAGACAGCGAAACGGTGTAAACATGCCCCGAGTTCGTCGCGCTGTACCTCGGAATACGTGAACGTCCGTTGTGGTAGCAATACGACATTATTTGAAAAAAAAAAAAATAAAAAATAAAAATACGTCGAAATTCCCAATATTTTTTTCTGTAAAATTTCTGAAAAAAAAAAAAAGCGAGCTGACGAGCGATATAACCGTTGATGCATTTTCACCCCGTCGGTTGGATAACCTTGGCTGTGCAATGGCGCTCCGGTCGGAATAGGTTTTCGGCCGCGGCGGACCGCGAGGGCGCCCCGAGTTATCGCGAACCGAACGGGATTGTTGCGCACCGGCGTACGCCGTACCGCACACCACAACACGGATAGGTATGCGCGGTCGTAGATAACGGCGCGGTTCGCGCGTTCGCGATACGAACGTTGGTAAACGGGTATGCAGATTACGCGTGTATATAAACACACGGTCGGAGGCGGGCGGCCGGCCGGCGCAACCGCCGGTTGGCCCGTTTTCCGCGTTCGGCGCTTATGGTCCCCCCCCCACCCCCCAACCCCCCGGTTGGATACGGCGATTTTGTCGGTTTTGAAAATCGAGTTGTCGGTTTTAAATCGTAATTGACGCGGCGCCGCGGTCTCGCGGGATTATTTCGTTTTAACGACATCGGACGTTCGTCGTCTTAACGGAGTGCGAGCGCTGTATCATTCCAAAAATAAACGATACACCGGCTACTTGTTGCCCACAACCAGTTGGCAATCGTGCCGCGACACAAACATTATGGGTTCTATTTTTAATCCGCGTCAGCAGCCCTGTCATCGGCAAATCGGCGTACATAGCCGGAGAAAATTATACCATTATGCAGTCCCGCGAATAATACTGTTCAAATCGTATTTGATTACAGATACGAGTACAACCATTCGGGAAGCGTTTGAAACGCGTTTGAAACAATTTTAAGAACGAATATAAATGTTCAGAACGTATTTAAATACATTTAAAATACTATTTCGAAATGTCCGATATAACATTCAGTATTCAACCATTCAAACACCCACATATTTTTAGAACTTTGTACCATATGCATCCTTCATTTAATACTGACGAATGAAAATAAATAAATTGCGCCGCATATTAATTCCGAGATGATTTTTTATACTTTGAATGAACTAAAACAAATTGTACATTTATGATTTACAAAATTTTGTATTGCACTCGGGAAACACGGTTTGTTCAAATGTTTAGTATGAAAAATAGTTGATTGTTACTACTGG